CAAGCATGAACAATCTGATCTGTGGAACATACCAGAAAAAGGATATAAGAACCAGAGAAAGACCCTTACCATGTGTAAATACTGATTATTATTACAGTGAAAGATCAAAGTGGAATATGCATTTAATCATAGACATACACTCTTAAAAAAACATTTTAATTTTGTCTATGTGTGGGTCTGTGCACACGAGTACGGTGCTTGTAGAGGCCAGAAGAGGACATCACATCCCTCGGAGCTGGAGTTATAGGCAGCTGTGAACTGGGAACTGAACCCAGGTCCTCTGTAAGAGCAGCAAGCACTCTTAACCACTGAATCATCTCTCCAGACCCCCAGGCCTCCTCCCTCCCTTTTTGATGACCTTGAACTCCTGATTCTCCTGCCTCCATCAGTACAGATATGCACCACACCTGGTTTATACAGTGTTAGGGATGGAACCCAGGGCCTCTTGCGTGGTAGGCAAGCATTTTACCAACTGAGGCACATCCTCTGTAGTATTTGTGTGGTTTATCTCACAATTTTACAAGGTTTAGCAAAATGAGAGAGTGAGGATGAAGAGGGGAGTAAGCGGGAGCTTGCGGGGTTTCTGTTGCTTGGATCATATCCCTGATTGCCTGCTTTGCCACTGTGTGGCTTTGGGCAGCTTACTTACCTACTCTGAACTTTGATTTCGTATCTATCAGGTGAAGATAATAATCATGTATTCATCATAAGACTCTGTTCTGAAAACTAGACAGATACCAGAATCTTTGCAAGACAGAAAACACTTGTAACAGCAGCTGGCATGCAGCAAGTGCTGACAAATCCTTCACATTTCTCTTTGGCTTCATTGTCAGGTTATTTGTTCAAAGGAATCATAAACTCCTCTGGGAATTGCATTCCCTCTATAAATCCATCCCTTTCTTTGAGGAGACAGCTTTGTTTAGGTCTTTTAGAACTGTTTTTTTTTTTCAATTTACTGTCTTGCATATAATTTCATAAATGAATCATTAAGCTTTTAATAGAGGTGTTTAAATGGAATATTCTCTGCCTTCTATTCTGTCTTTGGTCTTGCTCCTACTTGATAAGATTTATTTCTACCAGGGTTGCCTGTAAGTGCTAAAGAGATTAACGCTTGTTTAGTTTAGTTTTGGGGAGAAAGGGAGAGGGAGGGAGGGAGAGGGGAGAGAGAGAGAGAGAGAGAGAGAGATGCCCATATGTGTGTGGAGGCCAGAGGAGGATGTTGAGTGTCCTGCATTGCCACTCTCTACCTTATTCCTTTGAAACAGATTCTCTCATTGAAGTTGGAGCTAGGCTGACTTTCAGTAAGCCCCAGAGAGCCTCTTGTCTCTGCCCCCAGCAGTACTGTGTGGCCATGGAGAGCATCTGGTTCCCTGGAAATGGAGTTACGGGTAGTTGTTAGCCACTTGTGGGTGCTGGGTCCTCTGAAAGAGAAGCCAATGCTTTTAATCACTGAGCTGTCTCTCTAGTCCTATGCCCAGCCTTTTATGTGGGTTGTGGGAATCTGAACTCCGGTCCTCATGAGTATGCAGCAAGCATTCTACCCACTGAAGCATCTCTCCAGCCCAGTGTTGATTTCGTTTGCTTGTTTTTATAAGATGTGTTTATTTTTATTTTATATGTATGAGTGTTTTGTCTGCATGTATGTAAGTGCACCATGTGTATACCTGTGCCTATGGAGACCAGAAGAGGGAATCAGATTCCTTGGAACTGGAGTTACAGACAGTTGTTAGCTACCATGTAGGTGTTGGGAACTGAACCCAGATCCTCTGCAAGAGCAGCCAGTGCTTTTAACTATGGAGCCATCTCTCCAGCCCCCATGATTGAGTTTTTAATAGAAATGTTTTTAAAAAAAACATTTTATTATTTTTATTTTATGTGTATGCATGTATTGTCTGCATGTAGGTAAGTGCACCTATGTAGTGCAGTGCCCATGGAGGTCAGAAGAGGCTGTCGGATCCCCTGGAACTGGAGTTACGGACAGTTGTTAGCTGCCATGTGGGTACTGGGATTCAAACCTGGATCTTCTGCAAGAACAGCCAGTGTTCTTAACTGCTGAGCCATCTCTCTAGCCCAATAGAAGTGTTTAAATGGATATTCTCTGCTTTCTATTCTGTCATTGGTCTCTGCTAGCAGAGAATCACTCCTACTGGGTATAATTTATTTCTGCTATGCTTAGCTCTAAGTTCTACAGAGATTAATACTTTTTAGTTCTGTTTTATTTTTTGGAGAGAGGGTTGCATTCTGTGGCCTAGGCTGGCCTGGAACTCACTTTAGCTCACATTGGCCTTGGACTTGCAGCACTCCTGTCTCAGTCTCCCAAGCAGTAGGATTACTGGATTTACGCTTTTAATCCTAGATGCATGGGAACTGAACACAGAGGAAGTGTGTGTGATTTTTTTTTTTTATTCAATTTTATCCCACGTTTATTTTAGCCTGCTATTCTAGGCTCAGAAATCAGGTGAGCTTTACTGGAAAACTGGCCACTTTCTCCTCATCTGTATCCTGGCCTTGTGGATTTGCTTATCTTTCAGGAAAAAGCTAAAATAGAACAATAGAGTAGACTGTTATTTCTAACTGGGAATGCCTCTTTTTAAAATTTATTATTATTTTAAAAAATTATGTGTACACATGCATGTCTGTGTGTGTATGTGCACATGAGTGCAGTGCTCACAGAAGCCAGAAGAGGGTGTCAGATCCCCTAGAACTAGAGTTATAGACCAGTTATTAGCCCCTATGTGGGTACTGGGTCCTGAACTTGGGTTCTCTGCAAGACCAGCCAATACTCTTAACCGCTGAGCCATCTCTCCAGTTCAGCCTCCTTTTTTTTTTTTTTTTTAACCACTGAATGCTCTTCTTTATGTCAAGGTTGTGTTTTTTAATGTTTAAATTTAACCAGCGGTTTGTTCATTGTGTCTTTTAAAATTGGAGTTGTCTCTTAACTGTATGCACAGTGCATCTGTGCAAAAGATGACTTTTCTGTATGCTGAATTGTATTACTTGCAAAAGCTGGTAAAAACCATCTTTGCATGCCAGGATTCAGCAGCACTGAACTTTATTTGCTAAAAGTTTCAAGACTTGTGTATATAAGTAAAACTGAGGCTGGTCTGTAGTTGGCTGTGCATTTTAAAAATTTATTTGTATTCGTGTGTGTGTGTGTGTGTGTGTGTGTGTGCGCGTGCGCGTGTCTGTGGAGGCCAGAAGAGGGTGTTGGATCCCCTGGAGCTGGAGTTACACCTGGTTGTGTGGTTGTGAACTGCCTGAATTGGATGCTGGGAACTGAACTTGGATCCTCTGCAAGAGCAGCAAATGCCCTTAACCATTGAGTCATCTCTCCAACCCCAACTGATGTGTTTTAGCCTCAGTCTTTGAAGCATGCCAGCTGTTTAAATGGAATCTGGAAAATTCCTGTCTTTTCCTACTTGGTAAAATGTCTTTCCAAAGATGTTCTGAGTATATGTGAGTGAATGCATTTGAGGTGCCTGGCAGATACTCATTAAACATCACTAAGTTTTCTTCATGAAAGATCTCAGATATGCAGGGTGCAGTGGGCAGGCCTGCCATCCCAGCTCTCAGGAGGTGGAGACAAGATAATCGTCATCCTTGGCAACCTAGTGAGTTAAAGGCCAGCCTGAACTGACCGACACTTGTCACAAGCAAACAAATGAAAGGTCTCATTTCTTCTTTATGAATTATGAGTTTCTCAAACTTCAGTCAGGAACTTGGAGTCTTTCATCTCTTTCCTCTTCCTTTTCTCTCAGTTATTTTGAAACCAGCTCCCTGAGGCACCTTGGAGCTCACTGCTCACCATGAGCAAGTCACCCAGCTCAGGCTTCCCCTCAAGGGCTAGTTCTCAGCATTTGATCGGAAGCCCTCAGTAGTGGTCTTTCAATATCTTTACATCTTTATTGGTTTGTTTTGTGTCCTGGAAGGGAGCCCCATCGCAGGTGGTCAGCTTCCATAAGCTTTCACAGGCTTCTGTGACTGGTAACCTTTTGAAAGTCCTGTGTCTCTTTGGGTTCAATGGTAGACCAATAGTGATCATCCATGAACAAGATTTTCCCAGCAACAAGAAATGCCAAGAGATTATTAATAACAAGAAAGCAGGGAAGAAAAGAGTGATAATTTTTATCATTAACAATCCGAGTGATCATTGTTTGAGAGCACAAGGTTTATTTAATTTTCCATGGCCTAAAACGATTTCATCAACTTGCTCTTTTCTTTTTCTAAAGACTTTCTATTAGCATGTATTAATTATGCATGACAGTGGGTTTCACTGTGACTTTTGCATACATGTATATGTTACCAGCTCTGCTCCCTTTCCTACCTCCATTGAGCCCCCTTCTCTTCCCAATTAGTACCTCTACTTTAATGTCTTTCTGTATGTGACCCAGTGTCACCACACAGTGTGTTGTTTACAGGTTTTTAGGCAACTTAGCAGTGGCTACACCACTGGGCAACCGGCTATTTTTTACCAAAATCTAATTCAGTGTATATGTGTTCAGAAGCCTTTGGGTGCTTGACACAGTGTTAGATACTGTGAAGAAGAGAGAAGACAGTTGCTAATGTCTGTGCCCTCCCCCTATAAGGTGTGTGAGAAGCTTTTTACATCCTTGATGTTGTTTTCCATCTGTCTGCAAAATGTAACTTCAGGGACTGGAGGGATGGCACTTGCTAATCTTGCAGAGGACCCAGATCAGTTCCCAGCACCCAAATAGCAACTCATAACCACCTATAGTTCTAGCTCCAGAGGCTCCAACACCTTCATCTGGCTTCTGTGGCCTTCTGTGCACTCACATGCACAAACCTACACATAGACACACACGTGTGCATGCACACGCACACACACACTCTTGTACTTAGAAATAAAAATAAAATAGTTTTTAAAAGGTAACCTTAGTTGAACTGACCTTGGTTCTCTGGATAGAGAACACTGTAGAAATGCTCTTGACTCCATGACTCCCACTGAGATTAAAATCAAATTTTGTTTTCTTCCATTTCAGCAACAACGAACAGTCTACAGACTGACGCTTGTGAAGTGTTGGAATGTGGATGAACTCCAGGCCTATGCTGAGCTTGTGTCCTTGGGAAACCCTGACTTCATTGAGGTGAAGGTGAGCTCTTCTGGCTGGTGGCATGCTGTGGCTGAGGCCTGGCTAGCCAAAAGCTTGAGAAAAGCTTTCTGAACAGCAAGCGAGGGCCAGGCTAGAGTGTTAGGCTGCAGCTTCTCTTTGAGATGCTGGCTTTCTCCTGGGCACTGGGGCGGCTGCGTTGAAGACCAAGCTGTTGCTCTTTGAGAGCTTCTACTGAGGCTGGATAGATGGCTCAGTGGTTAAGAGAGTATGCTGCTTGAACAAACAACCTGGGTTCAGTTCCTAGCACCCATGTTGGGTGGCCTACAACCACTTCTTACTCCATTTCCATGGAGATCTGATGCAGTCTTCTGGCTGCCATGGGTACTGCACTTAAGTACACATAGACACACAGACACATACACACTCACATGCATAAATAAAAATTAAAAAAATAATCTTTGGGGGCTGGAGAGATGGCTCAGCAGTTAAGAACACTGGTTAGTCTTGCAGAAGACCCAAGTCCGAATCCCAGCACCTACATGGCAGCTAACAACTGTCCATAACTCCAGTCCCAGGGGATCTGACGGCCTCTTCTGACATCCGCGGGCATTGCACAACAGGGGTGCATTTACCTACATGTAGGCAACACATACATACACCTAAAATAAAAATAATAAATAAAACTTTCTTAAAAAGTTAAAAAAAATCTTTGATTTGAGATGGTCAACACAAGATGAGCCTGTACCCTGTAGCCACAGCAAGCCAAGAAATGTGTGGTAGTCATTAAACTCTTACTATGAAAAATTTCAAACCTATTGTAGGTGTAGGGTGATGGTTTAAGGAGTCATACCCTCCTGTCATCTTAACTAGGAGCCTAGGCTGGGGCTGGGCTGGTTTCCACTCGGCTGCTGCTCGTTTTCCCTGTTCTTAACTCTGAAGATTTTTAAACAGTCCCTCAGCTATATAAGCTAAAAGACATTTTTTGTGTTTTTTTTTTTTTGGCTTTTTGAGGCAGGGTCTCCCTGTAGCCCCAGCTGTCCTGGAACTCACTATGTAGACCAGGCTGGCCTTGAACTCACAGAGATCCGCCTGCCTCTGCCTCCTGAGTGCTGGGATTAAAGGCGTGTGCCACTACACCTGGCTTCTTTAAGTTTTTATTTGTAGCCCAGGCTAGCCTGGAACTCACTATGTAGCCCAGGCTGGTGGGCTGTGTACAAGAGGCAAACAATGAGACCCTGTCCAAAACAAGGCAGAGGCAAGGGCCAACACCCAAAGTTGTCTTCTGACCTCTACACTGTGGCAAATGTGCACATACACACACACACACACACACACACACACACACACACACACACAGACTGGGGGGGGAATAAAAGCTGGGCATGTGACACATGCCTCTGATCTCAGCATCCAGGAGGTGGAGGCAGGAGGATTATGGGTCAAGCTCATCCTTGGCTAAATAGTGAGTTTGAGATGTGCCTGGGCTAATGAGATCTTATCTCACAAAAACATAAATAAATGTTAATTAATAAACAAAATTGCATGGAGGTCTTTGGTTAAGTGACATGGAAGGTGGAACCATTCACTAAGGTAGAGAAAACCTGGGTAATTTGGTGAAGGAGTTTTCCAAGTTCCCTTGCTGGCCATATTAAATTTGGGGTCTTTAAATATTCTAGTATAGGTTTGAAGAGGCCACAAGTTCTGTCAAAATAGTTTGGGGGAGAGGAGGCTGGAGGGATAGCTCAGTGGTAAGACGGTGGCTAACAACCATCTGTAACTCCAATTCCAGGGGATCCGAGGCCCTCTTCTGACCTCCAAGTGTATTGCACAAGACGGGTGCACTTACATGCAGGCACTACATTCATACACATAAAATAAAAATAATAGCTGGATGTGGTGGTGCATGCCTTCCATGGGATTTGATGCCCTCTTCTGGCACGGTGCATTTATATACATGCATGCAAAATATCCATACACACAATAAATAAATAAATAAATAAATAAATAAATAAATAAATAAATAAATAAATAGTAAAATATTAAAAAAAATAGTTTGGGGGCTAAGGCAGAGCTAGAAGTAATGGCTCGGAATTCATCTGGGTGAGGTGGTCAAAGGCTTTTTGGGGCTAGTGAGTTTCCGAAGAATGGCTGAAGGTGATAGGAAAATCTGTCTCTGAAAGCTAAATCTTGCTTTTTCAGTGCGTGGTCTTGAAATTGAATATTCCCTGTGTACTCAGAGGGGGTTGCAGTTTGCACAGGTCTCTGTCAAAGTGTGGGGAGGTGGGGACCCTGGGCTGCTTGCCCTCCTAGGGGCTTCATCTTGTCTCTGGTCCAGCCCGACACTCTTCTTTTGAAATCACTCTCAAAGGTTTCTGTTGGCAAAAGTTTTAATGACACACAGATACAAACTGCATTTGAAAATATATGTCCTGGTTCAAGAAAAGTTCTCCAGCAGCAGAGGTTAGTGATGTCTTAATTTATGATTTAGCTATTAAAAAATGCTGCCTCAAATTACACCACAGTCAAATCTGATTTTATGATGCTTGGCTGGATCACAAGAGCCCATCTCTTCCTTTTGCCTTTCTCTTTTCTGTGTCTCTCTTTTGAAGTCATGTTTTCTTTTTTGAAAGATTTTATTCTTTCTATTTTATGGGTATGAGTGGTTTGCCTTCATGTATGTCAGTTTACCATTGTGTATGCCTGTGCAGGCCAGAGAGGGCATGAATCCCCTGGTACTGGAGTTGTAGGTGGTTGTAAACCACCATGTGGGTGCTGGGAACTGAATTCAAGTCGTCTTCAAGAGCAGCCAGTGCTCTTACCTCTGAGTCATCTCTCCAGCTCCTGAAGTCATGTTTTCTACAGTGAACATTTTACGATTAGAAAAAAATAATCGACAAATATTAATTTTGATCTTTTTTTTTTTTTTTAAAAAAAAAAAAAGGGTCTGATGTAAACCTCAAATTCACTGTGGAACCAAGAATGACCTTGAACTCCTAATCCTCCTGCCTCCACTTCCTAAGTGCTGGGATTATAGTTGTGTACTGTCACTTCTGGCAGTAGCCAGTATTATTTTTTTGAAAAAAGATGGCTACTTGTTAAACAGTATAATTCTCTAATGGGGTTTTTGTGTGTTGGGCATCTGTCAACATGACTAGAGAATAGAGAAAGCTGTGCTGTAACCACACAGTTTCTTTCAAACAAGTTCCAGCTCTGTTGCTGTATTCCTACATTGAATGGCATTTGGAGCTCTCGTCTCGTAGTAGCCCTCACTACAGCACTGGAGGATAAAACATGGTAGGGATGAGCTATTGGAGAAGTGAGTACTGTAGTCAGCAGAAGTCCACAAAAATGAGATAGCTGCTTTGGGAGGTTTGACAATTTTAAATCCTTAGAGAAATTTGTATACAAGCTATAGTGAAATCTGTGTGTGTGTGTGTGTGTGTGTGTTTGCATGTGTCCATGTGTATGTGTGCATGTGTATATGCATATGTACACATATGTGTGTGCACATTTGTGTATGTGTGTGCATGCATGTGTGCATAAGTGTGAGTCTCTGGGTGGGGGGCAGCTAGAAGTAAACCTTAGGTGTCATTCCTGTGGTGCTGTCCATATTGTTTTTTTGAAACAGAATCTCATTGGCCTGGAACTCACTGAGTTGGCTAGGCTGGTTGGCCAGCAAGTCCCAGGGATCTACCTGTCTCTGTCTCCCAGTGCTGGAATTGTAAGCATGTGCCAACATGCCTGGCTTTTTTTACATGCGTTCTGGGGATGGAACTTGCTTGTACAGCAAGCACTTAACTTACTGAACCATCTCTCCAGCCTTTTAAGCTTTTCTTTTCAAAATTATTACATTTTATTTATTACTTATTTATTTGTGTGTGCATGTCTGTATGTGTCATGGTGTATATGTGGAGGTCAGAAGACAACTTTCAAGTGTCAGTTCCTTCTACCATCTGTATGACCTGGGGATCAAACGCAGGTCATCAGGCTTAGCTGATGTGCCTTTGCCCACTGAGCCATTTCACCCCTTCTCCTAAAATGTTTTTAATAATAGAGTGTAATGGAACCTATCCCCTCTTGTCTTATGGGGAAAACACAGTCACACCAGCCTGTCCCTTCTCCTCAGTGTGATCTTGTACTGTCAGCACTCCATAGAGACACCTGCTCATCCATCTTTACAACTATTCTTAATAGCCAAGATATGGACTCAGCCTGGGTTTCCATTAGCAGATGAATGGGTAAAGAAAACATGTGAGGCTGGTACACTGGTTCTGTGAGAAAAGCCTGATGAATGAGTTTGATTAGGTGGAAAGGGAGAATCAATTCCATAGAGTTGTCCTCTGACCTCCACATGTGCGCCATAGTATGCACACGCCTGTACACTCACACACAGTAGAATATATGGAATGTTTATTGGGTTGTTTGCCATTCTGTGGGTGGAACCCAGGCTCTCGTGCGTGCTATGCAAGCTCTGTACCACTGAGCTACATCTAGCCCTTCTCTTTCTATTTGAAACAAGATTTTACTCAGTTTCCCAGGCTGCCCTTGAACTCATTCTATAGCCCAGGCTTACCTTGAATCACCAGTGCTCCTCCCTTAGCCTCCCCTGGGCTGGGGTTTCAGGCATGCACTGTGGGTGGAACCCAGGCTCTCGTGCGTGCTATGCAAGCTCTGTACCACTGAGCTACATCTAGCCCTTCTCTTTCTATTTGAAACAAGATTTTACTCAGTTTCCCAGGCTGCCCTTGAACTCATTCTATAGCCCAGGCTTACCTTGAATCACCAGTGCTCCTCCCTTAGCCTCCCCTGGGCTGGGGTTTCAGGCATGCACCCCCCCTTACTGTTTTTGTTTTTGTGGAGGGTTTTTTTTTTTTTTTTCTGAGATGGGGTCTCTCTATAGCCCCACTTGGCCTAGAACTTGTACATAGACCAGGCAGGCTGGCCTCCATCTCACAGAGATCCACTTGCCCCTGCCTCTCAAGTGCTGGGATTAAAGGTGTGTGCCACTGCGCCTGGTTTTACATGTTGCTTCCTGAAAC